AGAATAAAAATTAAAAAACAATCATAAATAATAATAATAAGAAGAAGAAGAAGAAAAAGAAGAAGAAGAAGAAGAAGTAGAAGAAGAAGAAGAAGAGGAAATAAAAAATAAAATAAACGGGAAATAGATGTTAAATGCATTTTAATGCATTTTTCTACTTTCTTTAATCTTTGTTTTCGTTCAATTCTAATTTTGGTAAAGTATTTCTATAAAATATCAAACTAAATCATATCGTATCGTATCATATTATATCATATCGTATCTTATCAAATATTATATCATCTCATATCATATCATATCGTATCGTATCATATCATATCGTATCATATCGTATCGTATCGTATCATATCATATCATATCATATCATATCATATCGCATCGTATCATATCATATCGTATCATATCATATCATATCGTATCATCTCATATCATATCGTACCATATCATATCATATCATATATAACATACTATATCATGCTAATTCAAATCATATCATTTATTTAACCATTTCTAAATAAAGATATTTTCTTTGTTAAATAGTTAGTCAAAAGTGATATCGAAATATGAAAATTTTCATTTTCCAAATAAAGGTATAACTTTCAAAAATCAATTGGTAAAAAAATATACACATGTTCATAATAATGTTTGTCCAATAAGATATTTATTTGTACTTTTCCAATCTACAAAAAAATTAGACTGAATAAATATACAAAATAGATAAAATAAGATACAAAAAGAATGAATTTCATCTTAGACGAAATATTATGTTCACTATTTTCGCCAGAAAACAGACATGTATATATTTTTATACTAGTATGTATTGTCCGCGAATATACGAGTAAATTCCTTTCCTTTTAATGAATTAAATTTGTTAAGAAAATTTACATTTTTTTTTATTTACTTCATCCTTCAAACATATTTATTTCGTAGCCACGGGTATAATTAATTCATTAAAACTCATCTAAATGTTAAGAAATGGGCACCTATTTGCTTCGTTTTCTACCAAATTGGTCAATTTAAGCCCTCACTGCTACTTATATTATCATAATGGCGTGTTCATAATTATTTCATTTAAAATTATCTGGAATAAGAATTATAACATCTCCTCACGTCAGTGAACTTTCTGCAACAAAATGTCTTAGAACACCGCGGTGATTTATTGAATTATCAAACAGGGCTTTTCATTAAATTTCGTGTGAAATTTCCCAGGAATTAGATATTAAACAAATCTTCGAGTCGCGAAGCTGGAAATAAAACAAAATTAGCGGTTAAATCTCTAATGAGCGTCAGGATTTCTTTCATTTTCGGTTACAGAATACTGCCAACAGATTCTCGTTACATATTCGTTTACATGTACATGCCATTTTTACCTAGATATATGAGAACAATGTACTTTTAAGTAATTACAGCTCGTAGTGTAGGTCAAATTACTGACTTAGTTTTTTTCCAGCACTGTATGTAGAGTGCTCTTGGACTTTTGAACCTTTGTCAGACATGACACACGGTGTTTTCACGGTGACGAAATGGTTTTCTGTTTGGTTTCTAACTTATTTGCCTACTATAATTATTGTAGTAATAATAACAATATTAATAATAATAATAATAATAATTAATAATTAATAATATTGATGATGATGATGATGATGATGACGATGATGATGATAATAATAATAATAATAATAATAATAATAATAAAAATAATAATAATTATAATAATTATTATTATTATTATTATTGTAAATTATACTAATGCTGCCACTAATAAGACTATCATCATCATCATGTAACATCATCACCATCTTTATCATTATCACAAAATTATTTCTTATCATTATCATCAACACCATCATCATCATCGTTAAAAAATGATTTCTCAGCAAATACATGCGAATGAAATAAACGCATAAAAATTCCAATTCTCGTATACCCTATAAATCACCACGTCATATATTTAATCTTAAGAGAAATTCATTTAAGCACTTGTTTGGCCAGTAGGGGGCGCAAATTAAAGACAGTGCGTCGCAGAGTAACTGTATCAGAAACCAGAAATTCCATATCAATTATCATAAAGGAACAGAACTTGGGAATTTATTTCTCACAGAATATTTATAAAAAAAAACCTTTTCACCCTTTCTTTTAAAATGAATGTAAATTATACTTGTCTAGATTACGATCAAAGGTGTATTTAAAAACATATTACCACTTGACCCTTGATTTTATTGTTTATAATATATACTAGAGAGTGCCTTTTGCAAGAGCAAGTTGCGATTTGTAAAAGTAAGACATTTTTCTCTATGTTTCTTTTTTATTTTTTTATTATTCTCGCAAATTTTAAATGTGGAAATAAATTAAACTAATGTGTGTGTGTTGAAATCTTAATAAAGTTATAAACAAATTATCAGGCCGATCGACTGAGCATTCTGTTGTTGTTTTTTTACATTATAAGCGAGAATGATTTGAAAGATAGATTAATTGAATAAATTGAATAATAAGATTTTTTTACCGCTTCCATTTTGAGATATGAATTCTGCGATAAAATCCGTACCAACGTATGATTTTTCTATAATTGACAATTAAGTCGGACTACTTAAACACCCTTCCTCTACTAAGTCTTGCAATTAAACTTTGTTATGTCATGTTCTGTTTTTGAAATCAATTAATTCATTAAAAAATCTTTAAAGGGAGAAAGTACAACTTTAAAAATGTCAGGCTCATTCTAAGGAATTAGTCTTTTGGCGTGGAAATGTACATGGGAATGCTCGTGGAAATGCACGTGGAAATGTATATGCAAATGCACGTGGAATTGATACAAAAATCATATTTATATGACGCATGAACAATCTTTCTGTGTTTGCCCTCTCAACCTTATTTTTTTTTATTTTCATCTCAGCCCAAGTTGCTCTAAAATGAAAATTTCACTAAATTTTTTGTAATAAATTGGTTGCCATGCAACTGAATTTTAGGAGTTTTAGCATTTACTAGATAATGTACCAGAATTATACTTTATCATATCATTTGTTTCCTTTCTCTATATAATTGTCCAATAAAACGAAATTTTTTTCTAAAATGGTAAAATAAAGTCACGAACATGCCTTTTCTATTGAAATGAAGGAGAAGAAGCGAAGGCGATGACGTTATTATGGGATTTTCTTTTCCATATTCAACTCCAGGAAAAATGTAAAAGCCAGAAATCAGAATCGTGACGAAACAAAACACGCAAAAATTGTATGATTAGGATTAATTTTGCGTATTTCAATCCTTTTTTTAGAAACTAACTCTTATTTTAAAAACCAACTACTAAAAAGGACGCCTATGCCGATTATAAATACGCATATTAAGATACAATTTCGTGTATTAATTTATAGACAGAATAGACCGTAATTTCTGAAGTATCACAAATGACAGGAGTGACCAGCTAATTCAATAATTAACAATTTTAGAAATATGAAATATTCGCAACTGCATTTAATCTATACTTTACTAAAATTACAAAATTATTTTTCCTAACATCTCAACGCACCTCTTATCAGACTATAATTTAAAGTGACCATAAAAAGGCAAAGGTCACCAGTCCAAAATAAGGCTAAGAATATACAGCAATTCCGTTACGCATTTCTTAATAAGTATTTAGTTTAGTTCATATGGATTTATTTTAGTTCGATTCTGTTGAAATAGGTATAAGCTTATTGAAACATTCTCCGATCAAAATTCTGAACATATTAAAATTTCTTATGCATCTCGTATTATATATATATCATATGTATTTAATAATGATTATTCCTAAAAATAAATCATGATAAATTTTGCTGAATGCCATATGATATTGTCCTAGCTATTCTAAAAGAAATTCATTGACAAAAACACGACAGAAACAAATTTATATTCTTCAAAATAAACTGTGTGAACAAAATAACACAAACAACAGCCCCATTTACAACCTACATAAGGGATAAGGAATATTTCTATTATTGAAAGTAGACTTTCTATGGCGCCTTTCAGCAACTTTTTTTTGTTTGACAATCTCACCTCTATCATAATTCATAGAGAATAAAAACTCGAGAATAATTCAAAGAAAAACAACCCAAAAATAAGCTATAAATGTACCAAAATTTTAGAACCCAAGATTCAGCAGTTTACATTCTTTCTGATCTTTGCAATTTAGCTTCGTCAGCATTTTTTTCTACCTCAATCTGCCTACAAGTATTTTACATGAAAAATGTATTAATAATTTAATACGAATATTACAAATCTTATTCAACAACTGGCATGTATTTGACACAGCATTAGCAATCATTTAAATGACATTTTGTTCTTGGAATTGTTTTTTTTTTACTTTCCACCAAAAGAGAGAGCTTTTTTCCACCGTAAAACCCCTATGCTGTCATTTACACTATTTACAAGACAATTAATGAATAAGTCTAGAGACTTGTGGGGTTTTATTTAAGTTAATGAGTAAGACCAGATTTCTTGCTGTGGTTTTTATTTTGGTTAGTGAAGATGACCACATTAGTGTGGGTTTTATTTTAGTTATTGAATAGATTATATTCTTTGCGATACTAAATACTTGTATGTAACGAAAATAAAGTATTGTTTTGTTTTTTTTTTAAAAAAAGGTTTTCTTAAGAAACTATATCATCTATATTCTGCATTTTCTAATATTTCACATTCGAAAGAATTATCTTTGATTTCAAAGTTTTATACCACCTTGATATAGACATAATCAGCTACTGATTTTCAGGAAAATTATTTACAGTACTAATTCCAAAAGTTCACGAGAACTCGTCAGCCTAAAAAGTTAAAAGATGACTTTTTCTCATGAGTTCGTTGTTTGTCTTATAATTTTGTTTTTCTTCTCATGCGATAAATTGTACGTCTAGCATAAAATGATATTACCTTACGAGACGCCGTGAGAGACTATGTCACAAAAATGACCTTTACTGTATAAAGTATTAATTAATATTCTTGTTTTGAAACGAGAAACACAAAAAAACTCAACTCACCGCAATCATGGCTGACATGTTCACGTTTTACAGTATCATATCATAAAATATATATCATTTTTCAAAAGTCATATCACATATCTATATCACATATAAACTGCTATATGTTCAGATAATCCTGTCTAATCCAACGTAATATCGACCGACTTATCAAGGCGTGAATGCCAATACCGTTTATCGTCCTTTAGGATTATTTTCCTTCTCCTTCCCTCTCCTCCCCTTTTACATGTTTATTCCTCATAAAGTACACACTAGAACATTTTCTCGCTTAAGGTGTATTGAAAACGGTTTGAATACTAGGGGCGGGAAATATCTTTTCCGTAGTTTTTGATTGATCGGGGTAATTGCTGGGTTGAGCGAGGTGTTGTGTATAATTATCGACCAATCAGAGGCGTTTTAAGGCGTTACCGCGCGTGGTAAGCATTTCAAACCGAGGCTCGATAGTAGCTCCGCGGTTAATGATGGCGTATTGCTGTCTTATCTTGATCAAGAACGGTGTTAAATGTTTATATGAAGCTCGTTATATGTTGTTTTAATTAATTTGTTCGATATCTCTACCCGATAAGACTGTGAAAAGTGTGATATGCGGAAAAAGAGCAGTGAAGGGTCGAGTGGTTTATGTGAAGTTATCACAGGAAGCTGAGAGTGTCTTGAAATAAATCGAAAGTGATCATTAAATGAATTGAAGTAGCTTCTGAAAATTGAAGAGAGTTTTGTCTAATAAATTGTTTATAACAAATATATACATTTGCAATGCATATAATACGGTTATAGTTGGTGCCGATAAATTCTTTTTTTTAATATAATTATTATGTATGAAATAAATGTTCCTTTTTCTTTTTTATTTATGTCGCAAAAATATATATAATAATGCAATAAACAGAAAATAGACAACACAACGAGTACAATGTAGTGAGTTTCACAATTTTTTTTATACAACTGACACACAACTGACAGCACATGCATGAAAATAGTAGATAATAATTCCTTGTTTTTCATACAGAAGACATATTTTTCTATCGTCTATACAGAAACCAGTTCTTACTCAAAACAAAAGACGCGCTCTTTTTTAAATGATTCGAACTCTCATCAGCCCGAGATCTGTAGACTTAATATTCTACTAAATAAGCAAACCGGAAAGTGTCTGTTTGCGACAATATTTATTAAGTCTGTAGAGTGAATTACATGTATACAGCTCTGACCTCATTGATATTTTTTTTTAAATTGTTTTGTTCTAGTCTATTCTATTCCTATTCCTATTCTATTCTATTCTATTCTATTCTATTCTATTCTATTCTATTCTATTATTCTATTCTATTCTATATACTTTTCTGTGACTGCCCCCACGTGATGCATCAATGAAGTGACGCGCTTAAATTTACGTAAGCATTTCATTCAGCTCAGTTCTGGTGAGTTTTTATTCGTTGATTTATAATGCACTCCTCTCTCATTTTTTATAAAGGTAATGGTTATAATTTAGACGTAATCACTGCATTTCTTACTTATTTGTCATTAGATCAGAGTAGTTCATTAATCCCTCTAGTTTAAGTGTATGACTTTATTTCTCCCTGATTGTGTCACATAAATCGAAAGTGATCATTAAATGAATTGAAGTAGTTTCTGAAAATTGAAGAGAGTTTGGTCTAATAAATTATTTATATCAACTATACTCATTTGCAATATTGCACATACGGTCGTATTTGGTGCCGATATTTTTTTTATATATGAATGAAGTAAATGTTCCTTTTTCTTTTTTATATATGTCGTAAAAATATATATAATAATGCAATAAACAGAAAATAGACAACACAACGAGTACAACCTAGTGAGTTCCACACTTTTTTAAACAACTGACCCACAACTGACAGCACATCCATGAAAATAGTAGATAATAATTCCTTGTTTTTCATACAGAAGACATATTTTTCTACCGTCTATACAGAAACCTTTTCGTACTGAAAGCAAAAGACGCAATTTTTAAATGATGCGAACCCTCATCGGCCCGAGGTCTGTAGACTAAATATTCTACTAAATGAAAAAACGGAAAGTGTCTGTTTGCGACAATAACACGTCTATAGAGTGAAGTACATGTGCATGTGTCTACAGCTGACCTCATTGATATTTTTTTTAATTGTTTTGTTCTATTCTATTCCTATTCCTATTCTATTCTATTCTTCTATTCTATTCTATTCTATTCTATTCTTCTATTCTATTAAATTCTATTATTCTATTCTATTCTATATACTTTTCTGTGACCTGCCCCCCACGTGATGCCTTAACGTATCGTATCAATGAAGTGATGCGCTTAATTTTACGTAAGCATTTTATTCAGCTCAGTTCTGGTGGGTTTTTTATTCGTTGATTTATAATGCACTCCTCTCTCATCTTTTTATAAAGGTAATGGTTATAATTAAGACGTAATCACTGCATTTCTTCCTTATTTGTTATCAAGACCTGATGAATTCATTAGTCCCTCTAGTTCAAGTTCTCCCTAATTGTGTCACTTAAAGATAGCGGCTTATGATCAGTATCAGGTATTAAAGTCGTCTGGTTCTTTGATTTATTTTTATTTTTTTTTATTTCTTTTTAAAGAAAATTCCTATGTCATCTCCATCTACCATAAGTTCATGAAAGATCAGAAAATTTCTTCTTTTTCAGTGTTTTAAATAACTAATTTTAAGCGTTCATTTGATATGGAGCAATAGTTAATCTGGACAACCCAACGCTTTTTGAACGGAATGTGGCGAAATTAGCCGAAACAATCTAGACACAGATGGACGCATTTCCGTAATTCAAATCGGTCAGACTGGACGGCAAAATTTCCGTGTAGTCACAAGACTATTCGGGTACTTGATATTAAACCCTATTGACGACTGCTCATTATTAATAATCAAGATATGCCTGTTACATAAAACCATTGACAAAGGCATGGGAATAAGGTAAAAATACACCACAACTTTATATAGCTTTTTGGACGTGTAAGGGTCTTTTGAGAACATTCGTAAAAGAATCATACGTAAACAATACTTGAATTTTTTACCAAAATTTCCATGTTTTTGTCTTTACTTACATTATCAAATATGACATAAATTATTGTGTCTTTTGAAACAAATAATGAGGTTTTATAAATCCGAAAACCGAAAAAAATAGTGAGCTGGGATCTTGCTGTTATTGTATAATTTATCCTTTCATATAAACATGAAAGAAAATTCAATTACGGTCGCAACTTTAAAATCCGTCTGCAAGCGTCTATTGCTATAGAAGAAAAAATGGCGGCTTTATTTTCTTGTTGTGTTTTTCGACTACCAACATCAGTTTAATGGCCTTCCATTCTCCGCCCAATTCTTGAAGTTACATATTGCTTAACGACCTTACAAGTAAAACACTTCATCAAATCATAAAAAACATAAGAGGTTTTTCATTATGACGGTGAATTTGTAAGAATTTCTCTTGCGTAAGAAGTACATGAGCACCTGCTCATAATTGGCGTCAATTAAACCCTCTCTGGATGTAATAAGAAACAATTTGTGAGAATTTTATCAACATTTTCATCTTTCGAAATTTCGTACGGGAAACATGGAAACTTTTGATTTCTAAGAAACGAACTAAATATATCAAAGCGGAGACATCAAAATCAACCTATTTGAAGACATTATATATACAACTATATAAAATTAACTGTTTCTTATAGAATGCTTAGCAAATGCGGATTATCTTTATGAGCATTCTGCCTATTTTTGCATAATTTTAATACAAGACAAAATCCGAAAATTTCAGTAAGTTCCATCATTCCTTGACGAATCCTTTCGAGAATTACTGAAGCTTCCGGTTGGTTTAATAAAACATGAACCAGATTTCACTAAATGAGATCCTTTTCCCGGAAAGAAAAAAAATAAAATCATAGAAAATTGGCGCTTGAAGGAAACTTTTCATACAGCATATTACTTCATGACAACTGTCATCATTCATTGATAAATTATCATTTTGTTGTCACTGAACTCTCTTTAGTTTGCATCATTTTCCACATTCACATTATTACATTTATAAGACGACAAATTCTGTACATCTGTTTGATATTTTTTTTTTACATTTTACAACACTTAATATATTGTCCTCGTTCAATGCAGTAACCATTGAATAATCTATTTTGGACATTGATCGTGTGAAACTCGTGCTAAAGAGATCTGTACGATCTAGATCCAAAGAAATAAATTAGATAACTTTTACAAGATATCATCAAAACTAATTTCGTTTCAAACCTTAAAGTGACTGTTACCCACCCATATTTCGAATTTAAATGTCCAAATAATTTGTTTTTCTTCTTATTTATATAATTTAACACCTGCAAGCATTTAATGACCGTGATCGGTCAAGATGAAAGCGATGCTTAGGTTTTATCAATTTTACGAATCTTCCCTACAGAAACGAAATATTTATTGACTTTGTACATATTACGTGGCTCCATTATGCATCATTCAATGGTTATCTTGTCCATGAAGTCATTAACGTGACAGTAACAGCACATTGACTGTAAATCGTCAAATCAAGACTGACATGTTGTTTCTCCTCCAAACAACGAGCCTCGCTGGACATTTCTTTACATAAACTTCATGGCTTCCGGTAAAACCGGAAATGAGTACACGAGTAGTGCTCGTCTGCATCAATCCGGATTTTGCAATCGAATTATTAAATCATAATTTGTAGATAAGATTTAGTTTTTCTCCTTCAATAGAAATACTTTTTTTTCTTTATAAGATTTGTTATCAAATAAGAAAATATGACAAGTCGTAATTCAATGTTGCGACAGTAATGTTGTTCTCTAAATTAAATCTTATATATATATTTTTTTTTTAAATATCTATTAAGATACTTCCCGATATTTTCTGATATTTTAATAGTTTAATAGTCTCTGATAAACTGTGGAATATAAGTTTTGTATTAAGAAATGAATATAAATAATAGGTTTTATGCGTTAAACCTTTTTATATATATTAAAATATATTTTTACATATATACATTTTTATGTGCAAAATATAAAAAAAACCAGGTTATAAGTCCTCTTAAGTTAAACCTCCAAATCTTTATTCTGAAATTTCTCTTACTAAAGTTACACATTATAGATGTTTTGATTGTATTTATTCTAAACTGTAATATATTTTACATATATAATAAAATTTTTGTGTGAAATGCAGGTACCCCATACAACTGTCCCCCTTTAGTTAAACTTTCCAAATATCCTATATCCGAACATTT